GTTGGTACTCGCACATACCGATATCACCATTTTAGGGCAGTATCGGGGCCTCGTCCGATACTGGTATCGGTATCAGTGCAACACTAATTATAACTGCCAACTTCCTTTTGTTTTATTAGTATTTTTATGCTACAAACTGAAACAAAGTGAACCATCATTTTTAGAGGATATGTCTGAGAGGCTCGGGCATCTTTATCGGATGCCCCCTGGATGCCTCCCTTGGAAGTGTTCCTGGCACGTCCCACAGTGAGGACCAGGCACACGATGGATGGATTTTATCTGATTTAAAATCATAGGAGAAGGAACTTGACTTATTTTTGTAATGAACAAATTGCAAAAAAGGCTGAAGTGTTCCTCTCTTCATCAGAACATGTTCTTCTCACTTCAAAACAAACCGGTATGCAAAATCATTCATACCAACAGACATTTCAATTCTAAATTCTCTGTAATGTGTTTTTTGTTTTTTTTTTAACTGTACTTTCTTTACCATTTTTTGTGTATTTATGTGTTTTTGGTTTTTTTTTGTATTTACTATTTTGGTGTTTTTATAAAATTTGATCACTAAACTCCCTATCAAATTTTTTAGTCATTTCAATTATTTATTTATTCTTTATATGTTTTGTTTTGTTTGTCACCTGTGCTGCTCAAACGAATTGCTGCTGGAGGGATTAATAAATATTCTAAATCTAAACCTCTTGGCTGAGCTAGGAGCGCCTCAGGCTTTCCCTCATCAGAGCTCGAGGACAGTTCTGGGGAGAGGGAAGTCCGGGGGTCTCTGCAGAGACTGCTGCCCCTACAAACAAGTTCCGGATTAGGACAATGAGTACAAATATGCATACGAATAAAGGATATATGGAAATATAAATGTTTAACAATCATAAAATTTGAAAAGTTTTGTTTGTATTTGTGTTCACTCCCTGTAGGTTTTGATTCTCCTGCTTAAAATGCAGAGAGCTCAACCTCCTCCAGAATTCTGCAAATGACACACCAGAGTCCATCCGTGTGTAATTAAATTTTAGCATAAATAAAGTTATTATTTGAAGACTTCTAGCGAACATTAATCATGGGAGTAGCCAAGAGGCCAGATGTTGCTTTGGGAGAGAAACAGAGATCAGCTACTCGGGTGGAAATACATGTGGACATGACAACAGTTATTAATGCACTTTACAATCCTGACCTTTAAGAAAGTGTGGCAAAAAATTTGCATTTTCCTATAAGCTATGTCAGAGATACAGAAAACAACATGCTCTGCTCAGGGTCAAATTACCCTCTGATGGAGGCTATCCCTCCCTAATAGTCCTCCTAGACCTGAGCACAGCTTTTCACTGTATCCTCCTCCACGGACTTTAACACTCAGCACGAATTATTCAGAGAGATTTATACTGGTTCCACTCTTACCTTTCTGACCAATTAGAGTATTTCTCTATTGGAGTTCCCTGAACTCAAAATCCCCTGTGGTGTCCCTCAGGGATCAGTCTGTGAGCCCACTTTGTTAACCCTCTATCTTCTCCCCATCGTTCACATCATTACTCACAACAGAATCTCTTTTCATTGTTGCCGACCACAGGCAGCTCTATATCTAAACAGATGCTCATCTCTCTACAAATTCATCACCATCGTTTTCCACTCATACCACCTGTTTTAATGAAGTAAAAGCCTGGATGAATCACTCCAACCATCCTGTCAAAAACAGAAGCTCTTAAAGTAGGCACCACACTGTCGATTCGTTCATCTATTTCTGTCATCATCCTCAGTATTCCCTTCCTCCTCAGTGATTAATGGTTAAAGCTTTGATGCTACTCTTACATTTGAGTCTCACATCAAACACATTCGCAAGATTTCATTCTATTATCTCAAGAACACCTCCAAATCTGATCAAATGTTCTCCTTTGGTTGAAAAAGGTGTCCTGTTTGGTTTCTCTGTTCAAGACTTGACCACTGCAACACACTTATATATGAGCTCCATCTAGACGGCCAAAGATTTCAGTTCATACAGAGCAGTGCAGCCTGATGAAGCAAAGGAAAAACCAAAAGATCGCACAAATGCTCGAACCTCTAAACTACCTTCCCATTGCACTCCACACTAATACAAACTTTCCTTACTTATCTATTTAATATAGTTGCAGCTATGGCAATGCTCTTGATTAGCTAAAAGAACTGCTCACCAGACAGACATGAATACAGTCCCTCCTGCAGCGAGTCTGTGAAGAAACCTTCCTAAACTTCTGATTTCACCACAGACTATTAAAGATTTTCAATTTTGCTGTTCTTATTTTGTTTAGGTCTGTCACATAAAACCCCTAAAAATGCACAATACACAAGCTCTTGGACTGCAACATGAAAAAATCTTCACACGTTTCATCTTGTACTAAATTAAACTCTCTGTTTTATGATGAGGATCTTCTATAAGCTGGATCTAAGCACTTGGCATTTTGATGTTACTGTATCTGGGCACAGATTATTCTGTGGTTATATTATTTGAAGTATAACAAACAACCAAGGTTTACACATCCTGTTCACAGCACCCTTTTTCTTTTTATACCTTTATTATTAGTATTATTATCACCATCAACATACATAAAATGGACAGAAGAAATCATCACATGGATGTGTTAAAATAGTCTACAGCTGCATCAAAACAAATTCAAAGTAACAGCCTTCAGACCAAAAGAAATAGCTTTCCCCCAATCAGGCTCTAAATTGGTGTGAAGTGATGGACTCAGACATAAGGACGCTAACAAAGTCGTCCTTCTATAACCTAAAGAACATCTCAGGGATTAAAGGACTAATGTTTTTCAGCAGGAGCTTCGAAATAAAACATGTGTTCATCTTTAGTAAAAATTATTACTGCAAGGTCTACACACAGGTCTGGCTAAAAAGTTGATATGACAGATGCAGTTGATCAAGAAAGCTGCTACCCACGTCCTCACCGAAACACAGAAAGTAGAGTATATCCTAAAACTGTTACATTGGATGCTTGTTTTTCAGAGAATATACTTAAAAATACTTCTGTTGGTCTACAAATCAATTAATTGCTTAGCACATAAATAAATAACAGACTTGTTGTCAGTGAATCAAACATCCACACCTCCTAGGTCCTCAAATAGGGCTCAAATCTAGTCTACATAATCTACATATCTCTATATCTATATGGATACAGCTATAAGCACAGCTGTATCAGCCAAGCTAACCAATCTCCTCGCTCAGTGGATTGTCACCAGCTCAAGCCCATCAGAGTGGCTGATGCGCTCAAGCTCGTTCTCCAGGCAGCCACAGGTAACCCATTTTACAAACTACCTGCGAGGCAAACTATCACATGAGAATTAATGACCAGCAGGCCGCAGAGAAAGCCGCGAAAGATGAGAAGTTGATTAGGGCAACGTGTGTCAGATTTTTGAAGACACTATATTGTTAAAGTGGGACATCTATAATTGGAAGTGGGACA